TGTGGGGAGCAAACCGGGAGGCCAGGCTTGCAGGAAAGCGGGGGGAAATAGCAGCTAAAGGCTTAAATAGAGGTGGTGTGAGATGGGGAGGCCGGGCCGCTGGGTGAGGAGCTGAAATCGCTCTGGCTGCAGGGCAGAGCATCCTGTGCTCGTGGGGGCCAGCGCAACTGGCAGGGAAGCAGGCGTGCATGCATTCCTCCGTGCCTGCTGTCCTCAGGCTGAGATAGGATTGACCTCTGAGTACACCTGAGACATTTGCGTGTGATGCTGGGGACATCTCTCAGTTGCTCGATGAAAGGAATTCTTTGGTTTGCTCTGCCAGTTGTTGGTAATAGTGTTATCTCTAATCTTCAAAACGATAGTAAAGCCAATAAAGTGCATTTTAAAATCCTGCCAAGATGTGCATTTACATGCCAAAATACCTACAATAACGATAATTGCAGCGCATAAATTCATGATTCACAGAGTTAAAAAAATCGGATTTACAATTTTTCCCATGAGGACGACAAAATAATCTGCAAATCTTGCTTAATGAATTATAATTCTACTCATGACAAATAAGTCTCAAAGTGTTACTTTAGGAATTGAGGATTTTTTTAATTTTCAATTTTATTTCTCAGTTTTTCTCAAGGTTGACAGAGAGGTTTGTGAATGGGGTGGATGTATTAATGGACACATTCTGGAGAATATGGACTGATTTGTTAGATGTTCTTGGAATTGATGGTAAGTGTGATGCCTGCTCACCCTTGAACTGTCTCAGCCTGTATCAGTGTTTACAAGCAAATGGGAAAACAGTTACATTTTATCATGCTGCTTAAACATCCATCAGTGGTGTGTCTCTCTGCTTCCCATGGCTTTGATTTTCCTATTAGTATCTTCAAACATGGAGACTGAACCCCACCGTTCCATTTCTGTCTGTGTATCTACAGGATGTGTTTAGAATGAATTACCAGGCATGGCTGGTTCCTTGGTGAATCCATCATTAAATGGATTCACACAGCCAGGAACAGTGCAGAGAAATCAATGAGGACTAGAGAAAGGAAAGGTGCAGCTGAGAGCCTTTAGAATGTCACTTTTACAAAGCAGGATCTGTAGCCTCAGTATGAGTTTTGACCTCAGGCTCTAGAGTGGTTCGTCTTTAAAGAGCCTTTCCCACCTTTCCTGGAATGAATTCCGTTGAACCTTGGAGCTGAGCCAGTGATTTGAGGGAAGGTTCATCCAGAAATAGGTGAACCAGCTTTACCCTTTACTTTAGAAAGCAGTGCCGTGACCCCAGTGCTGTGGGGTTTGACCCTTTAGATTTGTGCCTGTTTTTGCCTCACTGCTGGGGGGTTTGACCCTTTGGAACTGTGCCTGTTTTTGCCCCAGTGCTGTGGAGGTGGAGCTGTGCTCATGTTTTTACCCCACTGCTGTGGGGGTTTGGCTCTATAGAGCTGTTCTTGGGGTTTTGCCCCACTGATGTAGGGATGTGACCCTTTGGAGCTGTGCCTGTGTTTTTGCCCCACTGTTGTGGGGTTTGACCTTGTGGATTTGTGCTCATGTTTTTGCCCTGTTGCTGTGGGGATGGAGCTGGTGCCTGTTTTTGCCCCAGTGCTGTGGGAGTTTGACCCATTGGATTTGTGCTCATGTTTTTGCCCCACTGCTGTGGGGATGGAGCTGGTGCCTGTTTTTGCCCCAGTGCTGTGGGGATGTAACCCTTTGGAGCTGTGCCTGTTTTTGCCCCAGTGCTGTGGGACTTTGACCCATTGGATTTGTGCTCATGTTTTTGCCCCACTGCTGTGGGGGTTTGGCCCTTTGGAGCCGTGCTCTGTGTGTTTTTGCCCCGTGCACCTCCAGCCCACTCTCATTAACATCCTGTTCATTTCCCTTTGTTTTCCAGCCTCCAACCTGACTCATTATTTCAGCCCAGCAGCCATTGCCAACAACCCGACGCGCGCCCTCCTGCTGATCGGTGCCATTTTGCTGGCCTACTGGTTTTTATCTCTGTTCCTCGGATTCTTCTTCTATCTGCTGCACATGCTGTTCGGCCGCTTCTTCTGGATCGCCAGGGTGGCGCTGTTCACCCTGTCCTGTGTGTACATCCTGCAGAAGTACGAGGGGGACCCCGAGCACGCCGTGCTGCCCCTCTGCTTCGTGGTGGCCGTCTACTTCATGACGGGCCCCGTTGGCTTTTACTGGAGGAGGAACAGCAACAGCAGCCTGGAGGAGAAGATGGACCACCTGGACAGCCAGATCAGGCTGCTGAACATCCGCCTCTCCAGGGTGATTGAGAACCTGGACAGGGGCGCTGAGCAATGAGCCAGCCCCCGCTGACCACTGAACACCAGCTCTGGAAAAACCCTAAGCACTGTCTCATCCGAAGTTACAAAGCAACAAAACATCACATGGTAAAAAGTGTGCAAAGTTATAACTTTTCATCGTGTCTAAGACTAATTTATCTAGGTTAAACACTCAGCCGTTAGACTTCTAGGAGAAAGAAACAACATTTACAAAATTCAGCTGTATATTCAGAGTTTTATCCAGTACTAGAATTTTCTCAGTAGATAAACGCTTACTTTTACAAGCATTTAAAAACATCTTTTGTAAGGTTTTTATAAAAGCAAATTGAGTAGTCTTTCAGATATTGAAATTGAGTTAAACATATGCAAATTTGACACTTTAACAGTTAAAAAGAAAAAAAAAAATCTCAAGCTACCAAGCACTTCCATTGAGAAGTAACTGCTGTGGGTCCATATTTTTTCTTCAGAGTTGTGAATGTTTTTGTGTTTTTGTTGGCTTATTTCATTGCCTTGAAGTTGCCTTTCATAGAGTATCAGATGAGGAATTTTCTGGTATCCAGGCCAAAAAATTCACACCATAGCTTTTAACAGGAGGTGGGGAATGAGGGAGAAGGAAGATCTGAAGTCCTTAAATGCCAGTCCAGTGTGAGGAAGCACACGTGTGGCATTTTATCATTGCATTTCATCCCGAGAGCTTTAATTTGTTAGTGTCTGGAAGGAAATCTGCTTTAATAAATTGGCACAGAAGGAAGATGTAGCGTGACAAATTGTAATTCATATTTGATCTGCACAGTGAAGCATTTTCCAAGCTTAAGTGCATAGAGTAAAACATGGTTTTTAATCTCAGGACCCACGTACCTTCTCAGAAAAGGCAGCAGTTCAAACACGTGCAAATGTATTGTTGCTTAAAGCTTTCTCAGGACCAATCAGCGGCAATAAATTACCTTCAGGAAGATCTGGATTTTTTTCTAAAATTCCAATAGTTTTATAGGAGCTTTTTGCTTGAAGTCTCTGTCCTCGTTAGGTTTTGGGAAAAGCGAGTCACCTTTAGGAGGAGGGTGTAGGAAACGGTTCCCTTTCAAAGCACTGGAGCTTTGGAGCAATTTTTATTTTGCAGGATTTCTGTGTTTCTTACATGGTAGGGCATCACTGGCTGTGCTGGTTTACTGAAACAAAGGGAAGCTCAGGGAAGGAAGGCTGAACTGTGGTTTCACCTGGAAACAGCAGCATGCAAGGACACGGGTGTGAGCAGGGAGGGAAGCACCTGCCCCTGGTGATGAGCACAGTTCTGATAGCGCCAGGGGTAGGATGGAGCACAGCTGGAGCATTCCATATCCCATAGGGTCCAAACGAACAGCTGCATCAAAAAACGCAACAAAAATTGGTCTGGGATGGGGCCTGGCTGCAAGGCAAGGGGACCAGGAGGAGGAGGAGGAGGAGGAAGAGGAGGAGGTTCCCAGCTGTGCCTGCCAGTGCCAGCCCAGTGGGACAGGCTGGGCACAGCTTGTCCTTCCACTGGGCAAAGCTTCTGGGTGTGATGCTTAACTGAATGTAACTGTGGGGCGAGTTTATTTTTCTCTTTATGCTGAAGTTTTAATGTTCTTCTTGGAATGTGTGTGTTGCTTGCCTAAACCTCTTTGGGTCTGTCTGTGCGTGGCATTTCCATGGGGGTTGTTTTTAAATCCATGTTAATGGCCTTTACTCCTGGTGATCACTTCTGTTCAACACGGTTGAAGTTCATATGCACTTGGCACGGTTGGAATGCATTTTTTGATTTTAATTTTTTATGTCTCCTGTAAATCCCCCTGCACCCCATTTGTTAACAAGTTTAGAGTTGTTCAATAACTGGTTATCACAACTTAAAATCATTCCTGTGATCAGATAGGGACTATGGCAGCAAATAGTCCATTAGGTCAAGCTGAAAATGTAAATGACGGTAAATTCCTTTTTTCAGCTCATTTTCCATAGTATTACAGAGTCTTCCCTGTAGACTCAGTTCTCCCTACTGTTGTGCACAGAGGACTGGGCTAAAATGCCAACCTGGAAATTAGGAATTGACTAGTAAAGCTTGTCAGGTCTTGATGTGTTTTGCCAAATGTGAGACCTGAGGACCAAAGTTTGCAAACCTTGCTCGTGTCAGTGGCTCCATTGACTTCTTAGGTCAATGTGCATGGGTCAGTTTGCATAGATTGTATTTTGTGTAATCCATATTTAACGTTAAAGTTGCAAATACTGAACATTTATATATTAAGAGGTGTCTATGATAAAGATTTCTTTGAAAGTATTATAAAAAAGTTAATTTGGATTATGATTCCTCCCTGTCTAATCATTTATCTTACTTTTGTAAAATCAGCCCTCCTATATTAATACTCTTTATTTCGATCACCCTGCTGCTTGAAAAATGGTATTTTTATATTTACTTGCATCCCATGTATAGCAAAATGTTATGTGAAAAGCAGTATATATAAAATTGGGTATTTTTAATCAGTATTTTTCCCAGCACTCAGTTTTCACGTTAGTCAAATTCAGAAGTAATGATTTTTTTAAAGCACAATCTAATCTTCAATATATATATATACATATATAAATATATACTTTAAAAATGCTCTGTATTTTTAAACATGCACTGTAGTGAAAGCGCTTTTGGGGACATGAATGTGGTATTATTGTATTTAATCTCTTTCAACTTTTGTAAATACCTTTTACAAGTATTTTCCATACTGGGCCATCTACTTTATCCATGGAGGATTTTGCTGTTTTTTAGAAACCCGTGCCAGTGGCTGCAATGCTTTTGTATCCCACAGAGCATCTCAGAGACAGGCAGGGCTCTGTGTCACCTG